TCCACTCCGGCAAGGACATGCGCAGGCACGCCGCTGTGCACTCCGGTATACATTCACAATATTTCATCATCAACCTAAGATTGTACTACTAAAAGTAAGCCTCCTACATTGCTAAAAGCCTGATCTTGTGGCAAACGCATCTAGTCCACTCCTACAACTTTGACCACATCGGTCAATCCAATCAGCCTTACTAAATCGACACTAAAAGATTGTGTTTGGCAGTAAACGCCATTTAATGGTTGATTTCTAGGCACTTATCAGCAATAAGATAATTTGAAATTTGCCACAAAATAGTAATTTTTGTATTTATTATAATATGTCAGAGTCTGCCGCTATAGGTTATTAATAAAGTTTTCTTTTTAGATTCGAAGCCATTTCGCTGCAAAGTGTGCAACAGACGCTTCAGAAGGAAGGACAATCTGGAGCGTCATATTAGAAACACCCACCCCGAGTACGTGCCCGCCACAGCCGTAGAGTGCGACGAGGGTGCGCTCAAACAGGTCGCTAATACAAACGGAACAGAACATATAGAAACAAATGGAGCGACCGAAATAAATAAACTAGAAATACTCGAACAACTACCACTTTTGACACAAGAAGTTATTGAAAAACATATGTATATTGAAGTCGACATTGACACTAAAGAGTGTAAAATCGAAAAAAGTAATAAGGAAATAGACAAATCGTATATTCTAGAAGCTAATAATGCGAGAGAAAGTGTTATAGTTGAAAAGAGGAACACAGATAGTGAAAAGAAACCAGCAAGTCCTGCCCCGGAGTATGGCTACGTGCACAAAATAAGGCGTGCTAATATGATGAGATCGTCCAAAGAGATCCCTCTCCCGCCGATAGATGAGCAGAAGATGATGAAATTGAAAGAGAATAGTGACTTGAATGAGTTCCACTCGAGGCCTCCCATAAAGAATGTGGAACTCTACAAAATGATTCTGACCAATGATAAACAAGTGCTGAGCAAAGTGTCGCCGGGCGCAGATACGGAGGCGTGAAGAATAGGTATGGTATTTTTTAATCTATATTTTGGATTTAAATCGATTAAAAATTACTTTATTTACTTTTAAAAAAATCATTTTGTTTTTACATAACAGATTTAAAAATCCATCTGTTTTGGAGATTTCCAGTAACAAAGCTTTACAGACAAAAAAAAATCTTACTAATATTATAAATGCGAAAGTTTAGATGGATGGATAGATTTATGTTTGTTAGAGTTTGTAGCCTAAACTGCTGAACGGATGTTGATGAAATTTGTCATAGATGTAGAGGATAGTCTGGAAGAACACATAAGCTACTCACTTTCGTTTTTTTTTAATTCCACGCGGACGGAGTCGCGGGCGAAAGCTAGTGATATTTTTTATCGATATTTATTGATATGTTTGAATAATCGCTAAAGATTAGGAACCAACATCGAACTTGACACATGACAGTTGCTTGGCGGGAATGTCAGCTTTGGGTTGCCAGTATACCATATTTATTAAATGGTAATTTTATTATATTTCCGTTTCAGATATGATTGCAACTAAAGGCTAAATGTGATTTTATGCGTGAGACGGATACAGGAATTACTGCTACGAAAAATATCAATGAAATGGTGAAAAATACAAAACATAATTTTGATTTAGTTAACTCAAAATGGATTACATAAGTTTTTTATGTTTACTATATTGAATACTTTTATATAAATGTTTTATATATCAATTTTCCAGTATATATGTGTGGTAATTATTACGTCATATGATTGTTGTATGAATTCGTATGAGATTTCGTCAGGATACAGATTTATTTATGGTAATAAAACCACAATGATGTGTCTTATTGGACTTTTTAATGCAATGTTTAGTTATTATATGTCAAATGTTTATTATCTACATTACATAAGGATCCTAAAATCAGTCATAAATATTACTAACATTGTTGCTTTTAAGAACGTCCAAGACGTATAGTTTTAAGATATATTTAGCTGTGAACTTTATTATTTTTATATAAGTATATCCAGTGAGATTTAGAAACGTTGTTATTTTAAAGTTTATCTGGCTCGAAGGACCAAAATTTTAAATTGGTATGTTTGATCTCAAATTCGATTTTTTTCTCTTTTAATTCGAAATTTATTATTAACTAAATTAGACAGAAGTCGTTCGTCGTAGAATAATAATGTTTCTGAATCTATTTGTCGGTTGATTGCATTTAATTTTGTTCCTTAAAAAGGTTACGGGCATTCTGTATTAGAAAGGACAATTTTTATTGTATTTGAGCATAATTTGTGTTACTTATTTTTCTATTTTTATAGTTTTTTTAACAACAATAATGCCCTTGATAAAATACTTAATTCAACACAATGTTACCATGTAATAATGGCAATAATCAGAAGACTGTATGAAAAAAAATTGCCAGAGTAGAAAATTTTTCACTCATGGTTTTATTCAATGAAATTTTGGATTTTAAAGCTTCGTCTGCCAAAAAATGTATGTGATAAAAAAAAGGATTTGTAAACAATTTCGCGTTGGTGAGAACTTATAGATTTATAACTACGACTGATGTTTGTGATCTCTTTTACGTTGATCTCAAGTATATTATTTAAGGTAACGCAACATCTATTTAATTGGATAACGGTTTTTGTAACGTTCAAAATTTTAAAAATCGAATGTTTGAAAATTCAACGACTATCGCAGCTTGACTTCTGTAATTTGTATACGTGTTTTTCATTTTAATAAATGCATTAAATCAACGATGTTTATCTCATTTTTATATCCATATATCTTTATTTATATATATTTTACATGATTTGTATTAAAAAAAAAAACATATTATGTAAAAAAATAGAACACCACCGGCTGCGGAATCCGATGACTCAAGCAACCAGTGGTCAGTGCAGAGACAGGAACCTCCTCACTATTCGTGCGGTTTCTAAAATAACCGCCTTTTGAATCGGGCCCTTAATCAAACTGTCTAGCGAGAGCTTCTTGAACTGTTGGTCGAATCTCTTCGCTATTAGCCCGTGCACCGAAATGAATTATTAAATAATTTTTGTTGTTTTGAAAATACAATTTGCAAAGTTTTACAAGAAATATTTGTTGGGCAGCGATTGTTCGTTATTGGGTATAAGTTACATTATAGGCGTCGCCAACCGATGATCTGCGCTAAATAAAGGGCTCCAACATTAAAGTTATTCGTAATAGGGGGGGGAGGGGGAGCATCTGCCTAAATATTGACGTGAACTTGATGTTTAGTGATTATCTTGTTGCTAACTCTGGTTTCGTCAATCATACTCCAATATCAAAAAATTCCGTTACTTCTCTGTGCTAGTTTCTTTTTAAATCTTGGTGCCACTGCCGACTGTTCATATCCCCTGCCTTATCCTTCTCCCGTAGGGTCGGCACACCGCGTTTTCGTCCTCCAAACCACTCCAACATCCGTCATCTCAGTCATCACTCCCTTCTTAATCATGTCACCTTTCACGCAATCCATCCATCTCTTTCTAGGTCTACCTTTACCGATGTACCATTCCACATTCATAACTAACGTCCACTGCCGACTGTTATTTGAGCTTATCTGATACTTGTTAAAAAACAATAATTAAAATTCTACTGTACGCCACAATTTAGTAAAATAAATTCATTTCGAAGTTCACTAATTTGTTTCATTTTCAAACCATTGAAATATCGTTTGGACGTTCGCCAGATATTGTTTGAACATTAAAGGTAAACCTGTACAGGGATGGACTCCACTCATTTTTAAAATAACGTTTTTAGTTCTTACATCGATGTGACTTTTAAAATGCTGTTAAAAAGTATTACGCAATAATGATTTAATGTTCAAAATTTCATGCATTCCATTAAATGTTGAAAGATCTAATCTTTTTAAAATTCTTAGATATTTAGCCCATACTGTGTTATCTGCGTGGCGGATTTATTACAATTGATGATTTGAGTACGACCCTGTACACAAATCCATCACTATTCCACCATTGAGCATTGTGACGCGGAATCTGGCGTTGTTTCTGCGCACGGTCATTGGCAAATCTATATTCTTAGATCTCACATCCGTATTTAGTTGCCATTAAATAGACGTGATAATTGGAGGGAAATTTGACCAAAAAAAGTTTGGTTTAAAATTTGTAATATGGAGAATAGTTTTGTAAATTCAATATTAGATCTGTATAAAGAAAGAAATTGGAAATCTATGGTGTCGGAATATCATGATCATCCAGACAGAAGTAAATTATTATGGGTATTTCCTGATGAGACGAACTTTGAGTTTTTGCGAGACTGTGTTATTAATAATGGATGCGATAGTATCATAAGTGTCGGTTGTGGAAGTGGTCTTTTAGAATGGATGATATCTGAAGCCACTGGTAGGTAATTTTAATAGTAAATTATGAGATTACTAAGCACCGAAAAGCATTTGAAAACTTGGGTACTATGTTTTAGGTTTACCAGTAACCGGGATCGAGGTTGACGGTGCATGGTGGCATTGCAAATACGCACCACCTACTTTTATACCATTAATTTTAACATCTCCTACAATAGATACTTCAATATCCCAGCTATTAAAAAACGCGAAGACTAGTGCCTTGCTTTTCTGTTATTTTAATAATGGTGTTGCCTTCGCTGAATATATGAAACATTACTCAGGACAGCTGCTGGTGATTATTGGACCAGGTTACGGTAAAGGTGTACATACAGATCCTTTGCCTTTTGATGATTTCGGAGAAGAATGGAGTTTATACAAATCACAGGAAGTTAGAAATAGTAAAGATTATATCGTTTTTTATAGACGACTAAAGGAAAATAAATATTTGAATGGTATTAAATAAATGAAATACAAAATTGTTTAATTTTATTTTTTATTGCTTCCTGAGTCCACCCCTGTTTCTTAAAGGATCACACAATTCTGATACAAAAAGTATTTCAATAACAATTTTGGTCAACTATATATAACAGTCTTTTTAAAATCATATAAAAATTTAACGTTATTTTTATATTTTGCAAATCGTAACCCTTCTATAAGGATGTTATTCTAAATTTAAAAGCCATCTATTTTGTATATGATATTAAATGCTTTAAAAATAATATATACAGATCGTATAATTTAATTTAGATTAATTCTTCATTAATTCTATATTTTTTACATTAATTTTAGTCATCGGTCTAACCGACGTGTTCATCATAGGATCTTTATTGCCTTGAAAATTTTGAAATTCGCTATTTACGTCTGGTACAATCTCTAGATCTTTCTGATTTACGATAGGCACTTCAGTAATCATACGGTTAATTTCATTAACCGATACTTCGGGCATACTGTCTGAGGTGATATCGTTTTCTAAAAAATGAAAATCATTATGCATGAGGTACAAAGACTCTAGAGGAAAGTTCATATCGAAGCGAGGAATTTTCGTATCATCGGAGTTGTCGTCTATTTCTATGATGTCATTCTGATCCGATATTTCTGGTAGTACAACGTTAGAAAGATCCATATGTCCGGAGTATTGCTCCCCCATATCCATTAAATATTGATCAATCATCGATGGATTATTCGTTGTGGTATTAATACCCATGTTATAAAATGAATCTGGTTTAACTTCGTTCTTAATATTTTTATGGATTTCTTCGAGCGGTGGTGATGCTTTGTACTCTCTACTCATTATTTGCGTATTAAGTCCTGTGCACATTCTTTCCAAGCATGGCGATTGTGTGTTCTGTTTTATGGTACCTTCTAATTTAATGTAGCTTGGGTCGTTTGCTTGAATTTTAGGAGGAGGTGGCAACATTGTCATCGTGTTTGACATTTGCTGGTTGAATGTGAATATCTGTGGGTTGTCGTTTAATTCATTGTCGACTGGTGTGGTCACGGGATCTTCTAGCATGCTCTCTTGAGGGTAGGTCATAATGTTGTTAGGCGACTCACTTAACGCCGGTTCCGGTTGCAGTTGCAAAAACTGTGTTGTTATCAGATTGTTAAACGTCACCGGCAGACCGAATCTTTCATTATCCTCTAACTGTTTAAAAGCCATTTTTTGTTGCGAATGGAACATATTCTCCTGATCTGGACCTTTTAATATCAAATTACTTTTAACAGATATCTTCGCTTTTTTCTTAGGAGCACCTTCTGTATCGCTACTAATATTAACAGGGGAATGACTAGAAGAAGGTACTGGCAAGATTTGCGTCGGCTTAATAATGGGACCGATGACTTTTGTCATCGGCATAGATATTTTATCAACCGGTTTCAACATGATATTATTCCTAAGTGATAATGGAATTGGGGGTAATCGGATCGGGAAGTTTCCCATTATATTATTGCTTATCGGCGAGTGATTGGACACTAGTGAATTAACGCTGTTATTTTGTAGAAGTTTCTGTTCTATTGATACTGTTGGGTTTAAGAATTCGTGTAGATTCGATTGGTTCTCATCGTAAGTTATTTCTAGGATCTGTCGTTGTGGGGTGTACTGATGTCTGTCCATCATCGTGTCAGAGTTTTCTGTTATCAGACAATCTGAACTGTTCTCGACCTTTCTGAGATCTGGGACCATCACGTGACTATTGTATGTGGGCGTTTGTATATCGCTGGTGGGCGTCGTGCAATAAGTCTTCGGATATTCGTGTGGTATGCTCTCAGAGAGACTATCGCAGTCGTATACTTCTATCGGTATAGTATTTACTGTGTTAGGATTGGAATCTTTGTTTGGATCTGTAGTGTGACTTGTGTTGGTGGATTTCTCCTCATCACTTGGTATGGTCCAGCTTGGTTTGTTAGTTTTGTTTGTCTTCATATCAACAAGGAGTTGTATACCTTCTTTATCTCTATGTGTTGTGAGATGTACTACATACTTTTCTTTGCTGACAGATTTGAATGGACAGTAAGGGCAGCAGTGTACGTCGCTTGAATTAACGTTGGGATGTTTTGAGATCATATGAGATGTGAATATAGTAGACTGTATGGCCGTGTATGGACAATGTTTGCATTTGTATATACCTTCTTTAGAATGCATTCTCTTGTGGCGACGCATCGCGTTGTGATCTGCTGAACGGTAGCTGCATTGATTGCATGAGTATGGTTTGTCACCTGTAATTAAATGGCGTATCATTATGTCATACACCCAAATAATACTTGTATGGTCTGGTTAGTAATAATTTCCATCTACATTTTATAAGACTGTTTCCTGCAACTCCATGTGCTCGGAATTTTAAAAAAGGTATTAAGTAGATAATACTTTTCTCCTGAACATATTCTAAATCTGTGCTAAATTTCATTGAGATCAGTTCAGCCATTCTGGGGTTGCCTTCTAACAAACATCCATCCATCTATACATTCGCATTTATAATATTAGTAAGATGTAAATGTGTGTATTGATAACAATAAAAAAATAGCAAATTATAACTAACCTGTGTGAGACCTCAAATGTAGCTTAAGTTCCCCTTTCCTAGCGGCTGTGTAGTCACAATGAGAGCACTTGAATGGCCTGAGCTTCTCATGTACCGTGCTAACATGTGCCTTTAGCTTCCTCTCATTGCTGAACTCTTTCTGACAGATATGGCACTGAGCTGGTGATGAGTCTCGCTTATGTATCAGATTGTGCTTCGAAAACTGATTGGAATTCTTGAATGATTTTGTGCAGATTGTACCTGCAGAATTAAGAATAAAATAAGACAACATTATAGTATTTTATCATAAAAAATCTGCTGGTAGCCAGAAGTGTTAGTATTTTCCTTGCAATTTCATAATGTTAAATTTTGACTGAATTTTTTTTTTTATATAAGATAAGGTGGCAAACGAGCAAGCAACCACCTGAAACCGCCAAAATGGCGAAGCGACCGCTGCCCATAGACATTCGCAATTGCAGATGCGTTGCCTACCCTAATACGACGGAGGAGGAGACGCACATAAAGAGGATATTTCCCTTTCCTACGCATCTCCTCCACCGTCAAATCCACTTCCTCTTCCCAACCTGTCCTTATAAGAAAAGGGTGGTAAAGAGAAAGGGACTTATATTCGGCCTCCGGCACCACACTCATCAGACAATACATGGAATTGCTCTCATTTCACGCCTGTCTTCTGTGTGGTCGTGGTATTACACCGGGCGTGCCGGCCCATTCGTGCTAAGATGTTAAAGTGGGCACTACCACTGTTGAATAATTCTAATATAAAAAACCCTTACATGTATAAGCTTTAACATTTCCATGACATTTCATATGAATATTATATAATCTATACTTTTTAAATGTTTTAAAACCACATATTTCACATGTAGGCAACTCCATGTCTACAGCGTGCACCTTCCATAAATGTGTATGCAAGGGATCTACCCCGGGACACACTTTAGCACACTCCGGACACTGTAGTTTACCATTCTGATGGCATTTTCTATGATAAGCCATATTATTCTCATCTTTTAAACGTACATAGCAACCTCCTATCCCACATGGTTTTATTAATTTTTTATCTATATCAATTGTTTTAGTATTACCATCATAATTGTGAGAATAGTTTAAAATTGTTGTATCATTAGCTACTGGCAATTGAGATTTATTATATTCATTGTCTTTTATAGTCTGTGGTGATGGTGAGTTGTCTATAACATTAGCTATTCGTGGTATTGATGATATAAGGTCAGGTGGAACATTTGAGATACCCACCTCTGGGACATTTACATATTGAGTTGATACATCATTGCCATACACTATGTTTATACTAGCCCCTTGAATTATATCTTTCGGGTCAACTTTCTCAAAGTTAGGTGTACTCATGGTATTTAATTCATCAACAGATATATAAGTAACACCTTTCGGCAATGATTCATTATTGGGACTAACGGAATCTGGACCTATCTCAATAATTTGTGGAATTTTAACATCAGCTAAATCCTGTTGATTTGAAGGAGGCGGTTCGTCTACTTTTTTATCTTCTTTTTTGAATTTCGCATCTTTAAGTGCTATTTGCACTAGACTTTTTACCATTTTTCTAACATCTTTGATGCCCATTTTATGATGGCTGCGAAGGTGGTTCCTTAAAGTTTCCTCCGCATCGAACACGCTCGTGCAACCGGGGCAGGATATCTGGATATTGTCTGCGAGGCCATTGGTTTTAGCTAAGTCTGGGTGGACAGTAAAGAGATGGAATTTTATATCATCTTCGGCCAGTGCCATGTAGGGACATGCCTCGCATTTAAAGAACACCGTCGATCCTACTGATTTCTCTTCATAAGAAAATACTTTTTCTTTTATATTAGGTAGAGGAGGTTTGGTGTCATCACCACTCTGTGCATTTACGTTATTCATGTTCGTTATAAAGCATTTGGAATTCATTGCCTGTATTAATTAATATTTACATTGTTTAATGAAAATGTTATGACATTTACACACAATAAAGTTTATGAATACAATAAAATAAGCAACTTTATCTTTGCCTTTTTTATTTTCATTTTTAAAGCAAATGTCAAATGACAAATGTCAGTGTCTTTCATCTATCATTCTCGTTTCGTTTTAAAACTTTAAATAATCATTGCTTATTGTTTTATTATTAATGAATACTACCTGTTATTGATAATGTGTTACATATTGATTTACATACAGTTTATTATACCTACATGTAAGCTATGATTATTACGATTTCACCCAACATTTTATAAAACGTTTTGTTTATAAATTATCTCGATTATTTTATCTACGTAGTTGTCAAAAAAACTTATCAAACGAATGACGTATCCTGATTTCTTGTGACGTTATTGACTAGCCGGTAGTGCTAAGTTTTGTTTTTACAAATAACTTTAATTAGAAATCTTCATAATGACCGTAAGTAAACTTTATAGTTAATGAATTGACAAAACATCATTTAACTACAATCTTTGATACGTATTTGTTTGTTTTCTTTTAGTTGGAAATAGAGTCAATGGTACGATACACGTCGCCGATAAACCCGGGCGTGTTTCCACACCTCACTATATTATTGCTCGGTATCGGCATTTTCTTCATGGCATGGTTCTTCGTATATGAAGTAACAAGCACCAAATCAACCAGAGATCTCTTCAAGGAACTCTTGCTGTCACTCGTCGCGTCTTTATTTTCCGGCTTCGGTGTGCTGTTTCTCCTGTTATGGGTTGGCATTTACGTGTGACAAAACATAGTTCATAAGTATGGTATCTATTTCTTGAAAATGTTGATTCAGTTATGATTAATGAAAGCGATTTCTTGTTTAAATTAAGAAAAAATTAGATATATATAATTTCATAACTTTACTTTTCATTTTTTATCAGTGTCATGAAAAAGTGCATTAATTATCATCAGAAATGTAACTTGTGTATATTAGGCCTAAAAGGAAAAAAAAACTATGTTTTATTGGTATATTAAATGATTAAACTTAAAAATACATAAACTTCTTAAATTGTGAAAAACTAAGTATATTACATCTTGTGTCCATATTTTACTTAATAAAACAGTCTAAGAAAATTAACACCTCACTCTAAAGCGGTTGTTGTTTCCCAATTGGTTCACAAACATATACTCATGAAAAACACTAAATTCTTATTGGACAGAAATAAAAATTTTACGATTGCATTTGACTATTAGCTAAGTAAAGTTGTAGCAGAGGTATCCAGTTCCACATGTCTTTCCCGCTGTCTACGAAACTCATCGTCCAGCACTACAGTCTCATGCATCCGTTGTGCTGCCAGCTCTTGCAACCGATTGTACAACATTTGATTGGTCTTTACGATTTGTCTAGAAAATTTGATTACATTAATTGCCCTATTTAATTTAACAAGACTATTTCATTTCACTATTAGTAGACAGATTTTTCACAATTTATGGTCATATGTGAATATTACCGAAAGTTGGCAGCATCCAATCTATAAACTTGTGTGATCTCCACTGACACAACAGTAGCTACACGCTTGCTATCCGCCATAAGCAGGGCCACCTCGCCAAAGTGGTCCCCATCTTCTAGGTGGCATATCTTTATAGAACGGAGAAAAAAATGAAGCAGTTTATATTATAACTAACAAAGTCTAAAAATATGCAACAAATTAATGATTTTACTAACCTCAACTCCCTTTAAGGAGTACACAGCGACAGTTCCATTAGCTATAAAGTACATGCAATCCCCGTTGTCTCCAGCGCGCATCACCAAATCATTGGGCAGGTACACCTCCGGCTTAAGGCAGCCCATCACCGCGCCCACCACGCTCGCTGGCAGTCCCTCTAGCAGCGGCAGGCGGTTCACCAGCTTGTAGCACGTGTGCAGAATTATCTCGTGTCGTAATTGATCTGCTCAGTAACACAAAACCTTTTCTGTAAAGTTCTGTAAGAGTCTTTGAGCCAGCGAGAGTAAAGATTCTAAATAAATCCTTTTAGTGGATTAAAAATTTGTTTAAATTTAAAAGGCGTTTTATAACTACTCTCTATTTACGATTGATGGCGATAAAAAACGCGGGAAAATTAAATTACAAATTACCGGAAATAACCGTTAATTCGGTTTTGTTACAAACAATAATATAGCAACATTTTTCCACAATTTAATTTTAATTGTGCGAGAATGTGACATGGTAATAATTTTGCATAATTTCTGCTTACCTGGCTATTTTATCTATAAAATCGCTGAATAGTAAATAAGCAACCTGATAGACATTCGAGCGTATCGTCCTCCTTGTAGTACTGCTCCTGATATCTATACCTGTAGAACTCTCTCAGGCGTATCTTTAACTGAGCTGGGAGTTGTTTATGTTGCATATAAGCCTAAAGATATACATATAGTGTGGTTAAAACAGCTAGTAATAATAAATCAAATAGTAAATTTTTGTAACAGTAAACAGATTAAAAGACCTTTGCCCGAAAGAGCACGGGCTTACAAACTACAAGCTTGAATTAACGGCTAGTTTTCCGTGGTGCCAGCTTTATTTTAAATATCTTCTATACATTTTCTTGGTTTTCCTTTTTTATTATTTTATAGTCTACAAAGGCTAAGGTTATCGAAAACTTAAGACGAAGAGCATGCGAATAACGAAAAATAATAAGAAATTGTGAAGAAGGTTTTAGGTATTATCAGGAAGTTAGCTCTCATCACCTCCATCTGACTGAGAAGTCCATGATATCGCGTAGCAGAGTTGTAATATGTCATATATATTTTCAACAAAAAAACTGCAAAAGTAAAGAGATTTATGTTCGAATTGGAATAAAGAAATAAATAAGTAGGGGAAAAAAATCACTTCAAACACAAATACTTACTTAACGTGTACACCATAAACATTGCTCCATAAAATACAATAAGAGAAAAGCATACAAATTCTTCAACTGTTGAAACTTTTAGCATTGAAGGATCCACTCCTGGAAAACAAAAAATCATATACGTCACCGTAAAAAACGTATTCGAAAGCTGACCAAAAATGGAAACAGACTTTGAAATAGATGCGCATAAAGAATTATTAAATGGTGAATGTTCAAACGATCACAGACATCTGCCTTACAAAAGGACTTGTACTTTCAAGGATGCTGGAGGAAAACGCTTATTTGAAAGAGTTTAACTGCTACATTTAAAAACTATTGTTCACATTGTTGTCTAACCGACTAACGCGCTCAGAGTGATGAATAGCGCCTTGTTGTAGCGTATGCCTGGTGAGTAGGAAGATAGGTCGCCGCTTGTGCTGTTAAGGAACAACGTGTATTGCCTCGGCATCTTGCCCGTCCCTGAATTTGAATGATGTATTACAACTTCACAACGTACATTTTATAAATACAGTATTCTCAAAATCTTGGCCATTAGTTAAAAACATAATTAGTACTTTGAAAAGCAGTTCTACTTACAGTAATATCCGAGTGCGGGTAGGATGTAAATGATGCAGTTTGTCCAGTGCACTGAGATGAGGAAGAGCAGGGTGTGTCGTACTGTGCGATGCCAGATGTACGACTCTGTGAACAACTTTAAATACACAAAACAGAAATTAAAACATTTTTTAAGATTCTCCCCATTTTTTACGTATAATTCACAAATTACATGATGTAATATTGAATACGAATCATAGTCACCAGCATTATAGGTTTCAAGTTGTGAACGACGGTGGCAATCCGGAGTACGCGAAGGGTTGCCATCAGGTGACCGAAAAGGAGGTAGCGATAGCCGGTCAGCTCCATATGCAGTAGAACATATGCTAGCGGTAGACACGACACGAAGTCCACCACGAACCAACTTCGTAAATAATGCCTATTAACAAACCATATGTACTAGTATTGTAAATCATTTGTCTGAAAGTGCCAATTTCAAGACATTACCCGAATTAAAAAATATATTTGTAAGAATTAAATATTATCCTCATAATTAAATAACGGCAATTCAAGAACAGTCCAGAAAAAGTGGTGACTAACTATGGGCCCTTTCGGAGTCCTTCCTTAGGTTGAATAGAACTAACGTTAATAGAATAAATCATTTTATAAACAGCATCAAAATTGAAAAATATTATTTTGACTATGAAAAATATGACCTTAGCCACGGCAAGTCAATGAACAATTTCTACAAATGTTTCAAGCCCATTTTTCTTGAAACATTTGTAGAAATTGGGAAGTTGAGATGGCAACATGTTATCCCCAAAAATATCCGATTCCTGTTTTTTGGTACTTGACAAGTAGTTTATATCAGTTGACATTGACAATTAGACGTTCATGATTTGTTTACAGCACTATTTCTTACGTTTATTTTGTAATGAAGTATTGTAAAACAATTAACGAACTAAATGTGTTATTATCAATGATTTTAACTGATGTTTTGTGATACATTTTGTTGTTTTATATAATAATCGACGAAGTTGTTCTATTAGTAAAGATCATGTTATAATTTATCGGGGTATGTTCGTTTTATTGTATGATTTTTATTTAAACCCCAAACACACAGATTTATAAACTTCAAGACGTAGCATTCCATACAAATTTACATCAACAGTATGCCTAGGAAAAAGTCAAATCTATCATTATTTACTACGAAGGCGAAGCTAGAAAAAATAAGACGAGCAAATGAATCTCAAGATACTAGAGAAAAACGCCTGAAAGATTGTCGTAAAAGGCAAGTATTGCGTAGGTCAATGGAAAGTAGACCGGAAAGGATCGAACGGTTAGAGTCACAAAGGGTACGCGAGTCCTTGCGAAGGCGTCGAGAAACTAAGGCGTCTAGAGTACAACGTCTACAAAAAGATTGTCTAAGACACGCTATCTCGCGAAGTTTAAAATCGGACGAAGCAAAACAAACGCGATTATTACAGCAGCGGGTTCGACAAGCCAATTTGAAAGTCTTAGAGCCAGAGGACGATAAACAGAAGCGATTAATAAAACAGCGTATTCAACGTACTGAGGCCCGAGCTATGAATAAAATCATACAAGAAATCATAGATCGAAAAAAAAGGAACAAATGAGCACTATTAGTGAAAATATAAAAAAACTAGCTGTTGTTCGCGTCTTCGTCTGCACGAAAATAACAATAATAATAAATATAGAAATATAGTTACCTAGTGAAAATATAGCTATTTATTGGTGGATGAATTTTTTAATCGGGCCAGTAGTTTTTGAGGTATTTCAATACATACAAAAATAGAAATCTTTCCTTTTTATATTATTGTTTTAGATATTAAATGTAAAAAATTAACAATGATAGAGATGTCGATATGTCTTCTACAAACGTTTCGACAGTGGAAACGTGCAATATAACGTTGCAGTTAATAAGTAATTTTAAAGTGGGATGAAAATAGCTTTAAAGCAATTTTTGGTGACTAATTACTTACTCTTATATGTACATTAAAGATAATAAATAGATCATGTTGTTTATTTAAAATTATAGGTCTACCGCGCCTTCCCGCACCTATCAAATATATTCGCATCTAAATTAGACCAGCCACTCCAAAGGTAGAAATTGTAATGATTTTTGTATCGAACATATTCGCGTATATCACGACGAGATGATGCCTGATCGGTCTAAATAGCGATAATCTTTTCGTAGTTTACTTACCAAATAATTCTGCTTCGATTCAGAACAATATTCTTCTCGACATTTCGGTAACCCATTTTGAAATTAATACACATGTCGATAAAACACACAGCGTGGAGACAAAGTAATACGGAATCTACGGTATGAGGTTTCGGGCCTTCTTCCGTTTCCAGGATGTAGCAAAGTCGGAGGGTCGAGCAAATCATATGGCTGATATTTATCAGAATCATAAAACTGCACCAAAATAAACTGAAAATACGAAGATATAGACCTTAAATTCTTATATTAGTCCAAGCTTACAGGAAATGGCGTAGTTTTATTTAATAATATCCATTTTTACCTAAACTTACTATAGGGATGGATAACGTCCCTTCCTCCTTCTATAATTTGGCGGTGTCGTTCTACTATTATTTCTGCGTGGCTCCGAAAATGTTGAAATATCACTGGGTGGCTCGCAGAAACCATAAAAAAATTCCTTAGAAACAGTCCTCTTTGTGTTCTTTCTTTAGAACCTAGAATAATATATAATTTCATAAGGGCATGTAGATCTTAGATTTTAATGCTAATTAACTACTACATAGTGTAGTATATTTTTATTAGCAACCAAGGAAAAGGGAATTCTTAATGTCAACATTATGGAACAATATGAAAGCGCGCATACCCAAGTTGTCAATATTCTTTTCTACTGCTGAATTCATTTTAACAATAACTGATTTTCAGTTTTGCGTTTTAATAACCTAAGTTCTAAAGGTGGAGGAAATTGAAATTATTGAAAAAAATATTTTTAAAATCTAGCGCTGCAAAATATCTTCCCATTTTAGACTTGTCAAAGTCATTGTGACGGATTGTCTTGTTGACATTTGTCTATTTATTATCAAGAAAGTAATTGATGTCCTATTTAATACTTTAAGCAAAAATAAATACTGCTTATGATGGACTAATAACCAACATACTATAAATTAATAACCAAAACATCTTTACTATTTGAGATTTTTTATAAATGGTGAGAATACCTCTTTTTAAAAATCAATAAAACGCACATAGAATTCACAATATTTTGTATCAGTATAGTATTTTCAATATCAGAGAAACAACTACGTATTAAAGTATATCTAATTCTTCTGCTGTTAATCAATAACATTTTAAACAAAAGCTATTTGAAAAATATCTCTTTTTTTTAATTTACATTACATCAGTATGTTAAAGTAAAATTTAAATGGTCATAACAGGTTGTATATTTCGTAGGCATCCACCTCCAGCGACGAGCAGGAAGATTCTTCTTCCTCTCTTACCAATAAACTGTTAAAAACTCGCGATGCTTTGGAAAAATTGAGTTTAGCCAATGTCCAGGTAATTCCATTTAATTTTTATTAGTAAATTGTCTGGGATTGTATATAACCTTATTACATATACTTTCCTCTTATACTAATTTACAATTATACCTTCACATATGCATGTATTTTTTCATTAAAGATATCATTTATATATTAAAAAGGGTGTGATGACTTAGATGACATTTGACAGAGTTATATGCAGAACAAAAACCTACCGGAGTAAGATAAGAAGGCAGATGATGATTATTTATTTATTAAAAACGAGCTGTTGCCCGCGACTTCTTCAGCTTGGTATTAGAAAATATACGAATTATACAAATTACAAAAAGCTACATATCCCTCAGGAACTGGACATTTCTCGGAGATGAAGCTTATCCCATTTGTACTCCAGACTTTGTTTTATATCTAATTTAATAAGATATGTTGAACCGTTGCAGAATGATTGAGTAAACATTAAAAATCTCAATTAATAAATCCCAAGGGAACCGTAACTATTCCCGGGATAAAAAGTTTCCGATGTGTTCTTCCAGACTATGCTCTAAACCTGTGTCAAATTTCATGGAGATCCGTTCAGCCATTTAGGCTACAAACGCTAACAAACATCCATCCTTCCATCTAAACTTTCGCATTTATAATATTAGTAAGATAAACTAACATAACCAATTAAATGTACCACTGCCTGCTGTAAACTAGTTAATAGTTTTTAACCATGAGTCTACTTTTGCAGGTAACAGATGGCGAAGATGAACTAGCAGTGTTCAGACAGCAGTGGCAGCGTGAATTGGTGGCCACTCCTTCTCCTCAGAGGGAACCTCCTCAACAGCAGCCTAAATCCGAACCTGAAGAACCAATCAGCGATGAAGAGAAGGCAAGATAAATGGTTTTTTAATTACTTATTTTTAATAACTTTCTTCTTGCAATCATTTCATCATACTTCATACCTTATCTATACTTATGTAATAAAGCATATGTCTTTCTTTGTAATATAGGATGTCAGTAATTACAGATTGTTTTTGTATATTTTTTTTTAAAATAAAATCCCTTACACTTACAACATGCTTTAATATGCATGTTTTTATTAAACTTAAGGGGTGAGTAAATTCGAAGAAGAAACTGCTCTGTGAGAAAGGGACAAAAGCTAAAAAAATTGCAGCAAAACACAAGATTGCCAACACCCAGCAAGAGCTTTCATTGTCATTAGAGTACATGAATTTTTTAAAATGTTTGAGAGTGTTTACAATGTTCTACACTATGTAATGTTTTGCCAGGCAAAGCAACTGTTTCTCCGTGGGGTGGAATTGGAGAGGTGTGGCAAATTGTATGAGGCCATCCAGCATTACAAGCGCTCCATGCAGATTGTGCCAGATGTGGAGACCAGGCTCTACGAGAGCACTGAGCACAGAGCTGACACTCCTATTGGTGTGTATAGACTTTAAAATTATCTATTCAAGACTGGAATTATTGGTTTCCTAATTTTTGGAACAGATGAATATAAAAATAATGTTAAAAAAAAGTTTCATCTATGCCAACAATACTGCTAAAGTGAGTGATTTGGTACCTTTTTTCAAACTCTCTTCAATATTCTAGGGGTTTATTTGGTGTTCAGTCGGTAAATAGGTTATTCCTATTGCATTTGTCTTTGTATAACAGAGGAGCTGAAAGTGGAGGAAGTGAGAGAAGTGGAGGATGTGGATAGTGATGAAGAAATGATTGAGGGTGAAGACCTGGTGACTCGTCTGCAGCGGATCCTTGCGAGGAAGGGGACACTCTGCCAACCGGAATTCACTGCAAGGGTAAGAACATCATACTTCTTACCCAACTCACTCTATCTAGCTCTGTTCCACTCACTCCGTTTGACTTACTTTGTCAAACTCTTTCGAATTCACAACTCACTCCATCTCACTCCATGTAACTTAGTATGGTCATATTTTTTATGTGTATTTTACGTATATCGATATTATTGTATTGCCTTTTAGCCAAAACGAATACTTTTTACTAAAATAAGTTTTAAAAACAAATTGTTTGACTAGGGAAGTGAAAATCAATTATAATCTTTTCACCTTAACAGTTACTTGTTTTGGTTTTTTAATGTAATTTGTTGTGTTGGTGTCAGGGTGGTCATATATCATGGCTGCCGTACGAGGTTGTCCAGCTGGTGCTGCGCTGGGCGGTCAGCTCGGACCTGGATGCTGTTACTCTGGAGAGGATATCAGCCACCTGCCGCGGTCTGTACCTCGCTGCTAGAGAACCCGACATATGGCGGCTGTTGTGTGTAAAGTTAGTAATATACATAAGTCTCATAATTTTTCTATAATATACATAATCTTTCCGTTGTTGTTAAATATAGACTATGTAGCTCAGTGATAATGTAGCTTTTTAATGGCGAAAGCATTTGAAATCTGTTCAGTTTCGAAGCGAATTCAATGAAAATCTTACCTCTTTATGATATTAGTATAATAGTATTTAAAAATTTGCTTAGCAAGTGATTAAGGGTCTTGGATCAATCAGTAACTCACGAATGGCAGGTCGTGAGTGATTGAGTGAACGAGATACATCGAAAATTGATCTGTCGATCAAAGGGCTATGGGTTTATAACACGAATCTACCACAGTTGATCTAACTAAGACATTTAAAAAAAATATATATAGTAAATATTTTTTTGTTTACCGGTATTTTCTCTGATAGGTATTACATCAGTTGTCAAGTACAGTGCCACCTCGTTACCTTGTATTGGAATTTAACAAAATTATAATAAGCTTCATTTGAACTCCATTTGACATGGTTTTGAGGATATATCTATAGAATCTATTTATAGAAAAATGATTGAAGTGAAGTCAACTATGCCTCCTCTATATTTTTGAATATCTGTGATCTAATCAGAGTGATTTGACGACACGTATAGGACATGGGGTATAGAGTGCGGAGTGCCGCGCGGCCACGGCTTCTCCTCGTGGCGACAGATGTACATAGAACGACCTCGTATACACCTGCATGGATGTTACATCAGCAAGACCACGTATCTGCGACACGGGGAGAACTCCTACCAGGACCACTCATACCGACCTTGGTATCTCGTCGATTACTATAGGTACCTCAGGTATGTATATGGTTACTAGCTTTCGCCCGCGACTCCGTCCGCATAGAATTAAAAAAAACAAAAGTGAGTAGCCTATGTGTTCTTCCAGACTATCCTCTACGTCTATACCAAATTTCATCGAAATCCGTTCAGCCGTTCAGCCCTCTACAAATTTTAACATACATCCATCCATCCATCCATCCATCCATCCATCCATCCATCCATCTAAACTTTCGCATTTATATTATTAGTATGATATGCTTAAAGATTATTTAAATCTTGATTTCGTATTTTAATTATATTCTAGAGCAAAATATCTCAAAGTGGTCCAGCTATATCCCTGTGGTCCAAATTGGAAGCAAATGGATTTCCGCTTTCTAAATGGGAAAACACACTGAAAGCTCGCTCTTGTGTTAAAAATCATTAAAATATAATAAATCCTACTACAATATCGAAAGAAGTTTCGTCGATCGATGTGACATATTTAATCCCTCCTCTCCTCAAACTTATACACCAAGAATGGTGGTCCACCAAAAGCCTTTCAGATAAAAATAAATCGGTCTACCAGGGGCGGAGATATGCGGTAGCACACAAAAAAAAGGAAAAACTATACAGACGAAATAAGTACCTGCTTCTTTTAGGATGTCAGACCAAAAAATGACCTTAGCGTAGAGAAGTAGGAAACCAGTGTTTGATCGGTTGCTAGGTTCTTCCCCGACGGCGTGGTGCTGATGTGGACGACCGCGGAGGAGCCGGCCTCGTGCGTGGGCCAGCTGAAGCACCGCGCCGCCAAGCCCAGCCTCGGCATCATGCCCGGACACTACAGGCTCGTCGGGGACAAGGTTACTATGACTTCAATACTGGCAAATTGATAGCTTCCCTTTCATTAACAAACAAATCACTTCATACTCTTAGTTATTCTATTGTCCACTTTCACTTTCTCTTTCAAATCTGTGTCTAAATTAATTTCTATATAACTTGGTACATAAACTAACTGTTGAAAAATGGTAACATCCTATTTTTAACACGATTACTAGTGATGGGAAACTAAATCAAAATTCTTGACTTGTAGATCAGCTTACGATTCACATATGTAATGCAGACCAGAAAACCTGCTCGTATCAATTTGTATAGAATTAGCATTTGGAACTGCGAATCACCAGAACTGTGAGCTGTTAAATTTGTAGTTGAGTTGTAGCTCAATGTTTCAAATCCTCAGATTTTCTGTCTTTTGAACCGTTTAATATTTATTATATTTGTGTAACTATATGCAGGTTGTGATAGTAATAAAGAAGGTAAGCAGCGAGAAGAAGCCGGCGCACGCTACCAACACTCGTTTCCGCTCGCGCAGGAAGGAGACACACGAACACCATGAGCAGATATTCCATCTGGTCAGTATACGAATAATGGTCGTTAATCTATACTTCTATATTTATATTTTATATTTTTATATTTATATATCATAATAAAGCGTAAACACTCACTTCTTTGTTGCTTAAGATGTCACCAATTAAGTTGTGTTTTTAATAAAAAGCCCTACACTTACGTAACGCTTTAGGCTATATATTTTTGCGCCATTAAACTTAGGGGGTAAATATTTTGAATAATAACTCTAATGT